TGTCAATAAATATTTTCTTTGGAGTGGACTATTAAACTTATGTAGACTAGCGTAATTCTCTCTCTGTCCTCTTACCTCGGCTGAGCCAGGAAACGCAGACCCGTCACTCAGACATCCTTATATATTAATTTATATAATTATTCATATAATATATTATCTTATATACCAGGAGTCAGCAACCTTTTGAGTTCGAATTGTGTGTGAGACGCTGAATTGAAAAAATGTTAAGAGAAAATTTTAGTGAAAAAGTTTTAACATTTCTGGAAAAACGTTTGGACGAAAATGGTGAAATGAAGCAAAAAAAAAAAGTGTCAAATTTGGCGTCTTTGTGTGCACTCTCTAGTCAAAAACAACAGTGTACTTTGAGACTAATTAATCTCATTATTATTTTTAAATTGAATTGTTCATTTTGTGTCAGTCTCGCATTAAGAACTGACAACCCCCGTCCACTGATTCAGGACCGCGGACAGCGCAGGGAGTATTTTTATTTAGATATGAGTGGATATAAAGAGAAAACGTTTGTTAAAGAGAGGGCAGAGAGAGAAAGAGAGACAGAAAATCAGAGAGAGTTCGGTAGAGTGAGTTACAGATGGAGTGAAAGCCGACAGGGATTAGTCACATGGGCTCGCTATCAAACGTGCTCAAGGGAGAGCATTCACATGCAGGGAGTGAGCTCATATTACTTGTACACAGCAGTACTGACACTTACTGAGGTCTGAGGATTTGTTCCACCATTTTCCAAATGTCTTAAATGTTGTTTGTTAAAGACCTTTGTCTGAATGAAAGAGAGTAAAACTGGAGACATCAGGAGCTAAAGATCATAAATCTGAGATATGTGATGCCAACTTTTCTGTAAGTGTTGTCATGGAGACAGATAGGAGTCAGACACACCTGCAGAGCAGCTTTAGTCCCGCCCACACTGTTTATTAACAGGTGACTGCACAGAAAGAAACACTGCTTTGGACCACAGATGACACATTACTACGTCACAGTTCACCTCTCAGCAGCTCGCCAGTCCTTCACTGTGCAGTATTAATACTTATTTGTGCCCCCTCCCCCGTCCCCCTTCACTGTTATGACATCATGGAAGTGTCCCCACAGGGTGCTCAGGTCCCAGCTCCAGTGTCCCCGGTCTCTGCTGGGACCGAACTCCCTCAGAAACAATAAAAGTCCAGTTCGGCTTGTTCCAGTGAAACGTCAGGTTCAGTAGTTGTCACGGTAACTCTTCTTCTTTTTTTTTAAAATTTTTTGGTAGTACTGCCGCAGCAGTGTGTGCAGCCGGTCGCCTTTAGGATCCTGCAGTGATTGTTCCAAGACGATCAGGACGTTTGACAAACCATCAGTGAGACTGAACCAGTTTTTATCTTTGAGCAAACTTTCACTCTCGTGTTTATGAAACTGCTCTCAGACTCCGTGTCAGTCACGACCTTCAGAATCATTTCACAACATTAATATGAGTTTCTTACTCAGCTGAAAGTCGAAAACTGAACCAGCATCTAAAGTCCTGAACGATACCTGCAGCTTTGTCTTGTATCATCCATGACTGAACGTCAGCTCGCCACCGTCAAGGCCTCAGAACGCTTCAAACTAAGCCTCCGTCCGTCACACCTTCACACACCTGACCAACCACCGCTCTCAGCTCAGACTTTTCGCTCAGACCCGTCATGACACAACATTTAGCCCAACTGATTCCACCATTAGAAAGGTGTGAACGAGTCTCTGCCTGGACGTCCATTGAAATGCATTACAGAAAGTCAGTTTGTTGGGTTTTATGAGCTTTTTCTGAGATTTGAAGTTTAAAAATGGTCAAACGGTGTGCATGGGGTACATGCAACTCTGACACAAGGTATCCTGAGAGGCTGGGCGACCAAGTGTATTTTTTACACTTTAAACCACATCTCAAACGAGAAAAGTGTCTCCTTTGGATAAAGTTGTGTGGTAACGTTAGACCACAACATCAACTCAACGTGAATAAGATTAACAATGATGTCTACATCTGTTCTAAGGTAAGTCAACATTGTGTTTGAGGCAACATATTGTCACTTTGCTGGAAAGAAATATAAAGTTATCTTTAACATCTCTAGCTAACGTTAGCTAAAGTTAGCCTAACGTTAGCTCCTAGCTGCGTTGTTCATCATGTCACCTTGTTTGCTGGGAGTTCATTAGCCTATTTTGTTCTAGTTTTGTACTTTGGTGATAGTACATCATTGTTAGCTGTTGTCCAAAGGGCTCTAGTTAAGCTAACGTTAACTTCTGGAGCTTAGCTTCATTAACTTATCTGTAATGGCAGAGATAACAAAGGTTGGCAAACGTTATGCTGAATGATACAGTGTAAATACTGTAGCACCAAACTAACGGAGAGACACTCTTGGTAAAGATGGTAAAAAGGCCGTTATCCTTTTCTCATATTCTGAGCCAAAAACCTTAACTTCAGTGGCACTTTAACTTGTTGTCTTTGATGGTGACGGCAACCAGATGCGGTTCACAAGCGAACACTGTGACCTGTAAATTTTGGCTTGTAATTTAAGCTTTTCATCGACCTTCTCAACAATAAAATGATGAATATATCCCTCCAATGCGTAGTTTAGGCCCTTTTGGTTACTTCTCAATGACATCTGATCGTTATGTCCCCAAAAATCATCAATTGCCTCCTGTGAAATGCCGTGTACTGTGACACCTGCCATAGCGCCGGGCACTGAATGATGATAGTTTGTCCAAGTGAGTGGAGGGGGCGTGGCTTAGCCATAGGTCAATTAGCATTGAGATCCTCTGGGAACATATGACGCCGAGGACGTACCGACAAAAAGTTCATTCATCCGTTCACCAATTTCACATGCAGAATGTTTTCTGTTCCCATATGAAGTGAGATACAAAATATTCTAGCATTCAAACGCAACACAAATATTTGCATTGTGTTTGGTGTGAACACGACATCAGGATCATTCTGACTGATAATAATAATAACTCTGTGACACTGTGATATTTTCTGAGACGGTTATCATACTGTGAAAATCTCAAACCGTTGCAGCCCTACTCGCAGGTTAAAGGCCTCCTGTCTGACATCAGAATTTTTTAAAGTTTCTGAAAACTGATAATCTAACAATCACCACCACTTTAAGCAGTGACCGGTCAGCTGTGTGAAAGTAGTCCAGGTTTTAACGTCCTATAAAGAAGTCTGACTGAAGCATTCACAGAGCTTCAGAACAACAAATTCAGACGCTGTAAAGGTGAGAATTTAAACTCAGCGTTCATAGAGGCCAAAACAGACAGTCCACCAATCAGGACCAGTTTACCTGGTGATGTCAAGGCAGGTGTGTGACATCTGAGCAAGATGTATAGAGTAAAGAGGAAGTTCAGAACAGCTAGAAACACTTTGGTAAGTGACTCTGAACCACATGAATACAAACACAGCAGAAACTGTAACAAAACAACTTGTAAAACTTTTTCATGTTCACTCAGATTTCTCTGAAAACTCTGATCATGAAATCATTTGAAAAATAACAAGAATAACGGTAATAAATAACATTTGAAAATAATAAAATCCAAAACTGAGTCGAGCTGTAAAAACAGTGACAGTAGTCATGATAACAAAAACAAAAACTAACAAAACTCGTCATCAGTTCAGCTCATCTGTGTTCAACAATGTGACATTACTTACAAGCTAATGCTAACATTGGCTAATGCTAACTAGCAAGAACATCAAGTCAGGAGTCAAACTCTGATCTTGATGCCCCTCCCCCTCACCAATGACATTTCATCAGAAATATTTTTCTTCTCAAATGACTTTTCAAAGTATAAAAAATCACTGTCAAACTTGCCTGAAGTTTTTTAAACAAACAGATCCAAACATAATTTCAGCTGGTGGACGAACACGCAGGGAGAGACGGGAGAAAATAAGGAAATGTGACAGCAAACAAAACGTCGTCACACATCGACATGTGTCAGAGCGACGTTATGTCGACAGCTACAGAAAACTAATCTGCCGCTACATGACGTTATGTGGAAGATGACTGCAACAATTTCATTACTCAAAACTGTAAAACTTTTCACCAATTTAGTGATTTTTCCAGGCCTGGAAAAAGTGACTGTGATATTCCATGACTTTTCCAGGTTTTCAGTGGCTGTGGGAAATTAGGGCTGAATATCATTTAAACATTTACACGCCAGTTCTAATACCAGCTCCCTGAAGTCCAGGTCAGACCAAAGATTCACGACGATATGAAACTGTTATAGAACGTTAAAGAACTGGCCGGTCTGAGCTCGACTCAAGCCGGCTGATGATGTCACCTGACACTCAGCTGGTCAAATGGCCGGTGGCTGGTTTTAAAGCACGTCACCTGTTTCAACAGCCAATCAGCTTGTAGTGAAGTCAGCTGGTCAAGTCAAAATGACCACAGACGGCGTGTTGGCTTGCTGCAGCAGGTGCTCCGTCCCCACCGTCTCATGGCGGTCACTTCCTGTCAGCGTTACAGATCAGAAGCACAGAGAGTTGTCGACTAGAGATGATACGCCGTCTCATGGTGGTCACTTCCTGTGAACCACCAGCTTTTTGCAACATCACAGAACGGAGCGTTGACAGAAGGTGTTTGTGTCAACTCATCTGATTGTCAATCTTCGGTCTGAACTGGACTTTAATCTGCATTGTTCAGTGTTACAGGTTACGACCCGATCCAAAGTTCACCTTCAGCTGTTGACGCTTCAGGTACTGACGGCTTGGATGAGGTTGTATTTCTAATATGCAGACTGTGTTTAAGGTCGGACTCGAGGCTGAATTCACAAACATTCTGAGAATACTCTCAAACCCACTTTTCCACCAACATGAAATGTTCCACTTCCCCTCTCCTAGTTTTGAACCATTCAGAGCATTTTGACCAAAAATTAACTGGATCAGAACCTGAAAAGTTTGTTTCTCTGCTGGAACCAAAAAACAGCAGGTGTTCCTTCACCTGAAGTGTGACAGTGATGACATCAGTGGGCGTGTCATTTTCTACAGGTTGGAAAGAGAGGACAGAGAAGGTGACAGTCGAGATGTGAGAGTGACCTCACGTCTCGACTGTCACCTTGAGGAATCATCAAAACAACAGAGCGTGCAGTGGTCTCAGTGGTAGTTGGTCCACGCTAAAAACAAATATCTGTAACAACAGGACAAAAGTGTGTACGTGTTACACCCTGATGATATGACACAACATGACGCCATGACTCTTCCTCTTTTTAACCTTGTCACTGACCAGCTCTGCTGCTGTGTGGATGAACTGTTACTTCCTGTTGTGATCAGAGCTTTATGCACAGATCTCACCATCATCACTGAACATGGTCAAAAGCTCCGCGAGTTGAGATTATTTTGTTGCAGTGTGGACTCATTGTGCTGAATCTGACCATGAGTTGAAGTTAGTGACGCACCACACGGACACAGACCGCCGGCGTTACTGTTAAATACTGGTCTCATGTTTGTGTTGGAAGTTAAAGGATCCTAAAGGCGACTAAATGTTTCCTCACGCTGAGGTTCTTTGTTTTTTTTATTAAGCGTCTTCGCTAACAGTGATAGTCCAGCTGCTCAGTGATGACATCAAGAGAGAGGCGGAGTCCCCACATCCCCTGTCCCTCCCCCGTCAGAGCGCTCGGAGGAGGGTGGATCATCTGAAACCCGCCTGGATACAGGACTGAGCGCAGGGAGCTGATTGGCTGCAAGTCTGTGAGTCCAGTTTGAAAGTTTGAGCGTCCTTCAATCAGCAGATCAAGTGTCCGAAAAACAAAGAGAAGACGAAGAAAAGAAAAGGACTGCAGGAGAGAGAGAAAAGAAAGGGTTTCATTATTTCATTTATCAACAAAAATCTTATTAAGTATAATTTAAGTTTTCATTAAAATGTCTTGTTAATGTCATTAAACAGCTGCTTGGACTAGTTTCAGTGGCAAATTAATCCACATTTGGTGCTCTAGTGAGAATTTGTAACTGTCTGTCTGTCTATCTAACTAACGAACAAAGTAACTATCTAACAAACTAACTAACGAAATATCTAACTATCTAACGAACTATCTAATTATCTAACTAACTAACGAAATATCTAACTAATTAACTAATTAATTAACTAACTAACTAACTAATGAACTAACTAACAAACTAACTCATTTACGAACTAACCATCTAACTAACAAACTAATTAACTATCTATCTATCTATGTAACGAACTAACTCACTTATGAACTAACTATTTAATGAACTAATTAATTAACTATCTATCTAACTAACTATCTATCTAAATAACTATCTAACTAATTAACTATCTATCTAACTAACTATCTATCTAAATAACTATCTAACTAATTAACTATCTATCTAATGAACTAACGAACTATCTACCTAACTGCTCCAAACTACACTGATGACATCTTGAAAATGATTTTCTCCCAGTTAAAATGAATCAGAGACGTCTGTCACATCCTGTCAGTGTTATAAATATTAATATTTTAAACTAAGAGATATCTCATTTATTGATCTCATTTAACCCTCTGATTAATTACTACAGTCAAAATGCTTTGTTAATTAATGACAGTGAAGATGATGATGTTAAATCTGTAACTCACATTGTCCTCTGAGGCTCCAGTGCTACGTTTGAGACTGGACCCCCGATTGGACCCCCAGCTGAATATCTGGCTGGACCACCGGCTGAATATCTGGCTGGACCACTGGCTGGACCACCAGCTGGACCCCTGGTTGGACATCTGACCGGACCCCCGTGTGGTGGCTGGGCTCTGGTCCTCTCTCCTTCAGGGACTGACTGATCTCCTCTTCAGGGTCGTAGTAATAAAACTTCCTCAGGTAGGAGATCAGAGGCCTGAGGAGAGAGCAGATGGTGTCAAACACCAACATGTTCAAAAGACACTGCCTTAAAACTGAGGGGAACATTAATGGTCACAGTGTAACAGGAAGTCAGTTAAACTTCAGGGAGATCAATGACGTGATTGTGAATCAGTTTCAGCTGGTGCAGAGGGCCCTGGGTTCCTCCTGGTGCAGAGGGCCCTGGGTTCCTCCTGGTGCAGAGGGCCCTGGGTTCCTCCTGGTGCAGAG